CTCTGCTTTACCACTCAAACTAGAGATAAAGGAAATTCCCAGCCCTACTTAACAAGCATCACTGGTTAAATTTCTCCCTTGAAGCCTGCTACTCTAAAAATAAAAGGTTTCAATGGCCAAAAACTCCCTCAAAACAAATGGCTTCCAGACACAAAATCAAAAGGACCACAGACATAGGTGCCTTTCCCTCCCACTCTAAATCCTAGAATGACTACATATACAAATGTACTAATATATTATTTTCTGAAATAATTCTGAAATGTAAGAAGTAATACTAGCAAAAGAACTAGGTTGACAGAGGAAGTATCTGTCCAGAAAGCCCCAAAATAGGAATGCTATTAAAATTGGGAACAGCTAGGAAGGCAGGAGAAGAAATATCAGGAGAGAACAGTAGCACACCAGGTTAGTAGCAGGAAAAGTTCTTCAGTGCATCTGGATAGGACACCCACCTTCCCTCAATCGAGAACACTATCTACCTTCACCCTCTCAGAGGCAAACTCTTCACTGAGCCCAGGCCCAGGAGCCCCAGAATCAGGAAAGCATCAGTGGCTGCTGTACCCACATGGAAGAAAGAGCCCCATGTCTGGGTATACACACCCTATCTCTTTCTTATAGTTCATTCTGACTGATTAACAGTACCTATACCAAATAACAGAGCAGCAATTCTGAAATCAGACATGATCACTGTATAAACTAGAACCACTGTACAAAAGAGAACTTAAGTATTAAAATGAGAAACTATCTGAAGAATTTCAAGAACTGGGAGAACTATAAATGTACTCAGATATAAAAAATAAGATCTAGCCAGGCATCACATGCCTGTAATCCCAGAACTCAGGAGACTGAGGCAGGTGTATTGCTGTGAGTTCAAGACCATCTAAGCCTACAAAGTTAGCTTAAGGCCAGCATGAACTGCACAGGGAGACCCTGTCTCAAAAAGACAAAAATCAAAAAATAAAGTAAGATGTATTGGTCCATGCCTGTAATTCTAGCATTCAGGAGGTGGAGGCAAGCATATCACCAAGAGTTCAAGGCTAGTCTAGGCTACATAGTGTATTCAAGGCCAGCCTGAACTACATAGGGAAACTCCTGTCTCAACAACTAACTGAATAACTGAATGAATGAATGAATGAATGAATGAATGAATGAATGAATGAATCAATGAGCACTTACTCATGAAAATCTACCATACAGAAAAGTATCAGCAAATCAGTAATTAAAAATACTAAAGAGTGGGGCCGGGGACATGGCTCAGTAGAGTAAGTGTTTCCCTGGCAAGCACAAGAGCCTGAGTTCAATCCCTGGTTCTGGAAAAAAAAAAAAAACTAAAGAGTATGTGTAAAATGTGAAATTTAAATTAAGTTTCTCCATATTAATCTCTACCACCCAAAAAAGGACAAACCGCTGTACATTCAACATGCATGAATCTCAAACACAGGCTGAGTAAAAGAAGTTTTACCCAAAAGGCTACATGTTATATAAATCCAGGCACAGGAAACTCTAGAAAATGCAAATTAATCCCTTCTGTCCCTAAAAGCAAGCAAACCATAGGCTGGGGAGAGAGAACTGATTGCACATGGGCAAGGAAATACTTCCTGTAGTAACACAAATCTTGGTTGTCAAGAGATTGGGGATGGCACATATACACATGTGTGTGTCCCCATCAAAATGTATAAATCTGTACACTTTAGGTGGGAGTTTACTGTATACAAATTATACCTCAATAAACACACTGTTAGAACCAGGTGCAGACATTACACACCTGTAATCTTAAACTAAGACAGGAGATAATGTGTTTCAGGCTAGCCTGAGCTACAGATCAAGTTCAAGCCCAGCCTAGATGCTACAGTGTGACCTGACTCCAAAAACACTTTTACAAAAAGAAAAAAAAAAAAAAAAAATATTGCCAGAAGAAAGCCCCATAGATACATGAATAGCAAAATGGAAAATGAAACTGAAAAATTCTTCCATACTGCCTTTCAAGTATGAAGGAAAGGACACAATACACAACTAGAAATCCAGCATCTATCCTTAAGTGATTTCTATAAACTTCCTGACAAAAGGGAGGACAGGACAAGCTGAAAATCTAAATGTTAAATAAAGGGGCCGGCCTGATAGCTCAGCAGACCACTCCCAGGGCACACTGAGACAGTAATAGAGACTGGGCATGGTGGCGCATACCTATAATCCCAGCACTTGGGAGGCTGTAAACGGGAGAATCACTGAGTCTGATCTACATAGTGAGACCCTGTAGAACCTGTCCTAAATACAGAAAGAAAAAAAATGTTAAATAGAATCTATTATTGGAGAAGGGGAAGACCAAGCCCAGTGGTGTCAAACCTTTCAGAGCTTTCAGTGATACCCACAGATGCCATGTTTGCCACCACTGACCTAGATATTTCCTAAAATTCAAACATTTTGAAGAAAAACCTCAGTTCCTACTAAGATGTATAAAAAACATAAATGCAAATGGTAGACTCTTCATCAGCAGTAGAAATGCTAGAAGAAAATGGAAGGAAAAAGAAAATGGAGAACTGGCTTCAAAGTTGTAAGGAGGAAATTTAGGAACTTTTATTCATCAAACCAGTTTTCAGGTGACAACAGGGAGGAAAAAAATCTTCACACACAAAAGTGCCTAACTTGCCGGGGAGATGGCTCAGTGGAATAAGCACTTCCCTGGCAAGTGCAAGGGCCTGAGTTCAATCCCCGGTTCCACCAAAAAACAAAACAAAACAAAGTGCCTAAATTTTACTACTCAAAGATGTAGAGAACTGGGGGTATAGCTCCATGACAGAGTACTTGCCTAGCATGTATAAGGCTGAATTCAATCTATAGTACTGCCAAAAAAAAAAAAAAAACCTTTTCTGAAATAATTAGTAGATATATGACAACATAGCTTTAAAACACCCAAGAGGGCTGGTGAGATGGCTCAGTGGTCTAAAACACCTACTCAGGGGGCTGGTGAGATGGCTCAGTGGTCTAAAGCACCTACTTAGAACAAGCTAAGCTATGCAAAAACACAGGGACCGCGGTTCAATCCCCCAGCACCACATGCCAGCCAGCCCCGCCCCCTGGTGGGCTGAGCTGGCCACACACACACACACACACACACACAAATAAATAAATAAATAAAAATAAAACACCTACTCAGAACAAGCTTAGCAAAGCACAGGGACCGCGGTTCAATCCCCCAGCACCACATGCCAGCCAGCCCCGCCCCCTGGTGGGCTGAGCTGGCCACACACACACACACACACACACACAAATAAGTAAATAAATAAATAAAAAAAAAATTTAAAAAATAAATAAATAAATAAAAATAAAACACCTACTCAGAACAAGCTTAGCAAAGCACAGGGACCGCGGTTCAATCCCCCAGCACCACATGCCAGCCAGCCCCGCCCCCAGGTGGGCTGAGCTGGCCACACACACATACACACACAAAAAAAAATAAATAAATTTAAAAAAAAAAAAAAACACCGAAGAACTGTAAGAAATTATTTTATCCATAAGCTATAGCAGAGGAACCAGTACATGCCAACTTGTAGAAAAACAAGCAATCTGAAACTAAAATACTTACATGATTTCAACATAAGTCAAAAAGGAAAAGAAAGGAGAAGGAAGTGAAAGCAAGCAGCATTTCTGTCTTGCTGGGAAAAAGAGGAAAAGATAAAGATTCCAGTTAATTGTAGACAAGAACAGAGAAGTGACAGTTTTTAATGTGATTAAAATGTATGGGTAAGGAGTCTGGGATATATAGCTCAACAGCACACCACCTGCCTGGTAAGTACAAGGCTGAGTTCAATTGCCAGTACCAAAAAAAGTATGGATAACTCCAGAATAAGAGAAAAAGAACACAAGACTTTCAAAAAACTAGATACAGACAGTAACAGGTACCATGTTTCTGGGACGGGGGATGCTACAGATTAAGTTTAGAGCCTCATATAGGCCCTACCACTGAGCTACATACAACCCCAACCCCAGCACTTCAGGGGTCTCATTTTTTTAGTTTTTGAGATAGGGTATCGCTGTATACATCAAAGTAATCTTAAACTCACTAGCCCACACTGGCCTTGAACTCCCTACAATCACTAGCCCAAACTG